TTGCCTGTTCAAGAGTTCGTGAAAAAATTGACGTAAAATTAAAAATAATGGATGGTCCTCTGCAAGGCGAGCTTAAAAATGATGGCAAGATCTACACAAGAAATGTTGTGTACAAAGAGATCTTTGACATGTGAATTAACATTTAATTATTTAAATAACCATTGTTGATTGAGCTAGTGGTGGCTCTTAAGAAATGACCACCAGTGATTTCCTTCATTGCGCTCTACTTTAAGCAATTAAGCAAGTAGAAGGGGTAAATCCTGTGGGGCAGTAAGCAAAAGGGGCGTTCTCGCCGCCTGCCCTGGGTAATTCAGTTTAAATTAGCAGACACCTTTGCATAAATCATTTTAATTACAATGAATAATATCTAGAACAGCAGTCATTTCGTATGACTGCCGGGCATTCTAGTTATGTATATTCATCTTGCACCATGTGCTGTGTTTTTTCAATGGCTGAGTCAGTAAAGCCAATAAATATTGGTAATTTAACACAAGTTTAGATTTTACTTAGTTGTATAACAAACTTTTCCTTAAAAAAGTCAGTATCCTTTAAAAAGTTCTATATTTCATCTAGGCAGATAACCCTCATATATTTTGCCATAATCAATTAACCCTCTAACCGCCAAGGCCCCATATATATGTATATATATATATACAGTCTAGAATATTTTTTGTGATATCTGTAAGAATGTATATATATGTGCATATTAAAATATGTTAAAGAAATTAAGGCAATATATTAAAAGTCCTCAAATCCAGGTATAAAATATCAGAATTTTTACATTAAAATCAAGAAAATAATTTTTTCTCATAGTAATTTTGGGAAATTTGCACTTTCTTAGTGAAAACACTGGCTGGTCAGAGGGTTAACATAAATTTAGCTTAGCAAAATGTTTGTGTTTGAATTCAGAAGCCTTTGCTTACTTAAAAAATTTCTAACTATATTGTGTTTCTCTTGAAGCCATTGGTTTCTCCATATGAGAAAAGCATCACAATCATAACAACAGTAAAAACCATATCATACTGTGGCACAGTCCTACATAGGCTAGTGGTATTAAAAGTTAATAACATATTTCAATAATTGCATTCTCTAGAGAAACTAATTAAATGCTATATCCAGTTCTGCTGCATAGTCAGCTGCATGGTTATACACTGAATACTTAACTCCATAATAATTAGTAAGAGAATTAGATTTGATGAAAAGGTATTTCATTAGCCTCAACTTTTGCAGCTTCAAATCAGCTGAGGAAACAGATTTTCTTAACTCTGGAAAACAAGGCAGGGATATTTGAACCTGTGGTTATCTGTTATGTTGAACTTGCCAAAAGGATTTTTAAATGTATATTATGCACCTAGAGCTGAGTGCAGATCATAAACACTCAGGTAACAGCCCCCAGTTTGTGCAGGGTTGCCACGCTACCTGGAAAACCGGAAAAAGTCAGGGAATTCGGAAATTGACCAAAAAAGTCAGGGAATTTAAGTGTTTTAGTCAAAATCTGGAAAAGTCAGGGAATTTTATACAACGATCCCGCCAAAAAAGGCGAGTTTTGCGCCGACGTCGGAAGAGATCACTTTTTTGGCGAATTGTGTATCACGTGAGTGTCATTTGGGCAGCTGGCATAGAGCCAATTTTCGCAGCTCCAATTTGATTGTCTTTTTAGAAAGGCAAAGCAAGTTTCCCGCAACTTTTGGTTTCCAGTAACCTCGAGAATCGCATGTGCAGTGCATGAACTAAAGAAAGTACCTGTTCTCGTATAAAACAAAATGGGTTTAATCCTAGTATACGGTACCATGAAGGTTAGAATTAAAAAATATGTATTGTAAAGAAGGAAAACCTCTCTGCAACAGACGTGGCTCGGTTCCATCATAGCGGGAAACAGCTGTGCATGTACAATATATCTGTCGCCAAAGCTCGAAACCGGTGTCGAAGTTCGAAGGTCACATTATCAAGATTTCCTAAAATGAATATCGTTTAAAATGTCTTTAAACTCTAAAGGAAAAGAAAATATTTTTTGGCGCAAGTAAATTAATTCATGGATTAGTTATTTTGAGGAGGGGGGAAATATCTACGAAAATCCGTTTTTAAAATTATTGCGAAAAATCCAAGAAAAAACGTTCTTTGATAAAACGTTTCTTCTTGGATTTTTCGCAATAATTTAAAAACGGATTTTCGTAGTTTTCTTTTTTGTCAAAGAAAGTTTCTTCTTAATACGTGTTTCTCAATTTCCTGTACACATCGCGGAGAGGGAAATTCTGGCCGTTCCGTCGTCAAATCCCTTGGCAAATTTTCCCTCCGCTTTTTACATAGACGTTCTTTGGTCAGAATAATCTCCATGTATGGTACAGTGGGATTTGGCGACATGATGATGAGCAGTAAACGGGTCATTGGCGACAATTTTCAAAATCATGCGAAGGCCGTATCATATACTAGGATTTTACCGCAAAAAAAAATTTTTTTTTTTCTTTTTAATAAATACCTTGTCATTTTGCAGTAAAATAAAAAAAATAGTAATCAATCATCTAGGATAACCATGTAATATAACTATATTCGCTAAAATATCGTTGATTATTCTAATTAAATTTTTAAGTAATTATCTTTATTTTTATGTTATTCATATCATTTAATGTTGCTTCTTTCCTCTAAATTTATTTATCATTAGTAAATAATATTTCCAAATTTCAGGAAATTTTCTCTGGGATAATCCTGAAATTAATTCTAGCAGTATGATGACATCACGAAATTTAATGCACATATTTTTTCCTTATGTATGCTGCGAAATAAATATAAAATACCTCAATTTAGTAAAAAAATATCATTAAATAGATTTCTTTCTTTCGTTTAGCTGCAGAATGTCTGCAAAAAAAGCCTTATTTTATTCCAGATTGGGCAGATTCTAATCTCAATCTTCAGTGGAGAAAATAACTCCTATTATAATTATATTTGTGTTTTCAAGTGTTAAGGTGTCTTTTAAGAATACACCTCACACAAATTAAATTTACCTAAAATCTAACCTAACTTTTAGCATTGCGTTGTGATTTATAAGAACTGGATTAGCCTCGTGTTGAACTGGGGATGATCATGAGTAATAATTAGATAAAACGTACAGTTGTTATCCAATGTATATATCTTAAATTTTATTAAGTTTTTTAAGCGGAAAAGTAAACAAAATTATCAAAGTGTACCAAGAATAATTAAAGAATAAATGTCCTCTGGGATTTATTGAATAATTAAGTGAATTTGCTACACAGTACAAGTTAATACCATAATTAATTTACCTCTTAGCACAGCCAACGTACATTACGCGGATAGACTGAAATTTTCTCGAAACATACCTGGAAAAGTCGGGGAATTTCATTCTCCTGTTTGAGTGGCAACCCTGTTGTGCCATCTAGTGGGGAGAGAGGATTTCATTTTTCCCCTTCTAGTTTTTGTATTCTTTCCTTTTTCTGATTCCTGTTTTCATCCAGTAAATGTATAATAAAATCATCAAGTTAGAAGAAGAAAATATTTAATCTGATGATGTTTCTGCATAAAAAAGAAAATGGCCAATCACTGTAGAAAGATGAAAGCAAGATTTTAAAAAAAGTATCGGAAAATTTATTTTGTATATACAGTGGAGTACTGTTTATACATTTCTCGTTTATACCTCATTTTATCTTGGTCCCGATTCAGTCCTATTTATTTTAAGAGCAAACTATTTCTTTCATACATTGCATAACTTTAGTTATAAGTCACTTTTGCTCAACTTGTTGTAGTAGATATACATTTTTAGTCATTATTATTCAAGTATTTTCCCCAGAAATGGATAGAAGAAAACAAAGGGCATGAGACATCATAGTCGGGTGAAACCCAGTTCATGAATAGTAGAGGAGATACTTGGAAGAAAAAATGATATGGTTTTTTCCTTTTGAACGGGACACAGTGTTAAGTAAATTAAATGGAGCAGAAATAATAAATACAAAATGTCATGAAAGTAAAAGGCACTCTAGTTAAAAGATAAAATTCAAATCTTAAAAAGAATTTGATGAGAATACTGGTTTGACAAAATTTGAGTTTGCAGAGAAACTGTATATTCCTGCAATAATGCTAAAAATAGTTATTTATGGGGAAAAAAAAAAAAAAAAGTTGAAGGAAGAGCAAAAACTGCTTCAGAGAAATTATGTATTCAAGATGGTATGTTTCCTAAGGGTAGAGGCCATTTTGCTAAAATGATGTATATGATTAATTTGGAAGAAAAGCTTATTTTATTGTGCGAGAGAAAGGAAATGCTAAGAATACTATTAGAGAAAGATGTAAAACTAAAATAAGAATTTTTAGGAAAAGATAGTAAATTTAAAGAAATGTCAGTATACTGGGGTAAAGCACTGTGACACATTTTCAATATCCTAAATTTTTGCAAACATAAATAGTGCAATTTAGAACTATGCATTATGTGGTTGCATGTCATTATAAATAACTATATTAATTAAATGTTCAGTCAAGTATAATAATGTATTTTTAGAAGCTTTGTTATAATACTCAACACCCCTCCCCTTACTTGATCTTTTTATTTCTTGTTTTGATTAATTTGAATATATATATTTCGTACATCTGTATGTTTTTGCATGTGAATAAAATTTTTGAGTTAATGTACTTTATTTAAATACCATTTCATCAGCTTTGGTTAGACTGTAGAGACATTAGGTTATTTGGAAGCAGGAGACTTGAAAAATGAGCAGTGCCTTCGCTGGGACTCGGACCTCTCTAATAAGTGCCAAGTGTGCTTACACCACGAAGGCATGATAAGCAGGTGGGAAGGTCATTTATTTAATTTGTTCAGGGAAAACAAAAGCTGAATTTCAGGGGGAACTTTGATAAATTATTGCATGTTTGTAAATAGAGTTTGAGCTCCTGTTGGATAGAAAAAGATAATTCTAAAATGTATGTTAACTATAGGTGAAGTTGTATATTTAGAAATTAAATGTAATTGTTATTCTTTTTTTTTATAATTGAATCCTTAGCACCAAAATAACTGCAATGTCGATGGAAATTGATGAAGCACCCAGAAATGTTTTGGCTGCATCTGGAACCACTGGTAGTGTTTCTGTGTCCTTGCATCCCCTAGTTATAATGAATGTATCTGAACACTGGACTCGTGTGAGAGCCCAAGAAGGAACAGCCCAACAAGGTTAGTAAATTAGTATTCATAAGCTGTTGTATGAAAATATTCACTTTTTTATTTTAAATAAACACATTTTTAAAAACAAAAAATTAGTGCTTTAGAATGGGAGGTGAGATTTTGAGGATTATTGGGGAATGATTAAAAAGTTGCTGTACCTTACATATTTGAAAAGAATAATTTATATTATTTTTTAATCAATAGTTTGCCATGGCTTTCACAAAATGAAGTATGTGAAAATGATAATCTTCTGTAATATGACCATCCATGATCAATTGGAAGGGCTTTAGAGAAGTTAAAATCAATACTAGTATTTATTTATGTTCTTAAAAATATTGATCACTTTCATTAGTGATCACATTAGGGAAATGATTGTCATGATGGGATTTATTGGATTTTGAACATAAAGATTAATGAATTTTAATATTTTTTGAAAAGTATATGAACATTTTTTAAGAGCAGAATCAAAATTACCATGCCATAATTAGAGTGTTTTTTAATCTTGTTGATAGCATAATAATTAAATAGTTAATTTTAAAAATTATCTCAAAAAAAGCACAACATCAACAAAAATTACATCATAGTTCATGACGTTAATCATTTTGAAATTGTATTAGTATTCCACTTTGTAATGATGAGTATAATGTTTCGTGTTTACACAGATGAGAACATATAGAACTGGTCTTCCTTTTATAATTATTTTTTGTATCTTTTGAAATATATCACCCCAAAAAACATGGTAGAAAACCTGTCAAGACTGTAGGGTTATGATACAGTAAAAAGTCTTTAATCTGGACTTGTCAGGACTTCGGCAATTCCTGATTAGGGGTTTTTCTGGGTTATAGATCATTAATTTAAATCTGGTAAGATTGCATGCAGAAATTATATAAAATTAAAAATATGAAACTGTAATTTATGAAATAAAGAGCAATTATGATCTAAAAGATATCAAAATTTACAAAAAAAAGTTTAATATTTATTTGTTTACTTTATTAAACATTTCTTTCAATGTAAGTTGTTTAAGTTGCTTCATATTTTGTGCTAATACTTTCTCTTTAATTCTATAACCAGACATAATTTCTTGTTCAGTTCCACTGTTCAAATCCTGTAAATTGCTCTGTCGAGAATACCGATTAACATGTCAATCGAAATTTTTTCGTTTTCAAGTCACTTTCTTCACTATCGGAATCAGTACATCGAAACATGCTTTCGCTTTGTAGATCCTTTGGCAGCTCCAGAATCGGAAATTCTTTTTGACGTAATTGAAAGTTCAAGCTTACTTTTTATAAAATTGCTCTAACAGTCTGCAAAAAATAATAACCCGGATCCAATTAGAAGATTAAGGAACAACACAATCTGCAACTTTAACTGAATTAAATAATTACATAATTTTAGCCTAGCTTATACCGTCCATTATACATTAAACGCATGTGCAGAAAGTTTGTAGCTTTGAGGTCCGGATTAATGACTTTGTACTGTACTGATAGCTAATCGGTGTAGTGCCATAAAACAGCTTCAGAATTTGCTTGTGCATGCTTCAGAATGATCTCTCATATAAGATTTAACTTTTTGTACCTAGATTAAACTTTGAAAAACTGTATGACTATATTGTGCTTAAGTCTTTTATGTGTTATAAAAAATGCTTTCATAAAGATAAACTATGATGTAACACTAAAAGTTTATTTTGCTTTTAATTGTCATAAGAAAATTTTAAACATATTACTGCCTGCCATCAGTAGTTAATTGTGTGGCTAAGACAGTTGTGAGAACTGGTGAAAGGTCGATTTTCCTTCCTTCCATAGTTCTTCTCTTCTCAGGACTTAGAAAAGTGTTAATGCCTACAAATTTAAGGAACTAGTTTAGTTCTGTAGGCTATTGACAGCTTGCCACTGGCTTTCATTATTTTGGTAATTAAATATTTTTAATAGTATATTGTCTTTTTTATATCGTCCTTTTATGTGGATACTATTTACACATTTTTATGATAGTATTGATGTTAAAACAGTAAAATCTAAAGACTTTGAAAAGAATTATTGAGTGTAGTCATCTCATGCAATGATATCGAAGCTGACAATTTCTGATTGTCAGTTCAGTAAGACTGATTGGTTGGTTCCTTCACTGTGAGAAAGAACACAGGGGCTGTTTCCCTTAGGACAAAGGTGGTGAATTATTGCTCCTTTAAAATATGAATTAGCCAGCCCTTGCTTTTAATAATCTCTTCAAATAAAGTATTGTTCCACTAATCAAGCTTGGCATGAGCTGTAAACTAATCATTTTGAACATAAATATTTTTTTTTATTTTATTTTAAAGCTTGCACATATAAAGAAGTTTTTCAATGAAAGCCATTTTTCTTTTTTTGAAAAGAATTCTTCTTTTTTCGTAGGTCTAAAAATATTGTGGAATTGTTAGTTATCATTTTAAACTATAAAATAAATATCATTTACAGTTAAAATATAAATAGTCCATTGCATCATTACCAAAATGAAAAATTAATAGTGAAACTTTTGCCTGACTAACAAAAAATTACCTCATCTAATTCTTCCAAACTACTTTTCCTTTCTATGAACAGTACATGCAGTTCACTTAATTCACCTGTATCTTTCTTTGCTAAACTGTCCTCTTAATCCATGCAATGGAAATTTCTACCTGACTTTGTATGCATAAAATAGTACAAAATCAGCCGCTTAAGCGTACATCTTTTGTTACAATGTATATTCTCATATAGTAAATGTATGACTATGTAGCAGTCAGTTTAAGCTGCAAACACTACATATGTTAGAAAACATGGACTTCTAATGCAGATTATAGTTCTATCCTTTCTAGCAGCTTTGATTTAGAAATTAAAGAAGGAAATATAAATATTGTTGAAATAAAAAGACATCAGAAAAGGGAACTTAGTGATAGAACACCCTGCAAATTGCCAATAACCCAATTCTACTCTCTCTCTGTCTCGAAGGAAAGTAATAAAATAATCAATAACCTCTGTTCTGAAGAATGGGAAATTGTCATGAGGCTCAAATCGGCTCGAGCATCATCATGCAGCTTTGGTCTCAAAAAAAGCTTTGACTGATTAAACTCACTAAATGAAAAATATGAAATTAAATGCATAGAATGCCATTTTAAGTTGTTATTCTTTAAAAAAAATAATCAAGTACTAATGGGAAGGATCTCCCTCCATCATGTTCTGGCAGACAGGAGCTCCGCAAAAGGTTCAGTACCCTGACTGCAGGATGCACTAAAAAAATGCTCTTGTCTAAAAGTATTTGCCTATCCTTGTTGTAAAGTATTTTTTCTTACTTATCCCATGGTAGTTTCACCCTCCATACCTTCATAGTGTAATTAGAAAGCTCATCTGGTTAGCAATCAGAAGGTTTGGAGTTTTAATCCTGGCAATTGCATTGCAGATTTCTTTGGTTTTCTTTCTTTGAAGAAATTCTGTGTAGTAGCATCCAAATGTTAAAAAAAAAAAAAAAAAAAAAAAAAAAAAAAAAAAAAAAAGATGGATCATAATTGATCACCACTAGGATTTGGCCATTGGCTGTCCTTCCTAGATGCCCTTTAAGAGGGGGGAATAGTATGTAACATGCCTTCATGGTGTAAATTGAAAGCACATTCGGCTAGCAATCAGAATGTCCAGAGTTTGAATCCTGACAAGGGCATTATATGTTTATGTCTCATTCTTCAAAATAAAAACTTAATGACTTTGCAGGCTGATTGCCCCATGTATCCATGCTTTCAAAATTTGACATCCGCTAGAGGACTAACTTTTGTGGATTATTCATTGAGCATAAAAGTTGGTAGGGATCCTGCTAAAAGTGGCCATGAGTTTGACAAAGAATTAATGACGGAATCTGAATCTGCAGGAATTAATGACTCTATTTAATAAACAATCAGTTTTTGATCTACTTTGTTTTTGTGTTTCATCATTTGTTTCTGCTATTTCATAGGGCCCTTCGATTTTACAGGAAGCTTATGAGTACAAACTTCCTACAGGTAAATTGTTCTAATCTATTACTGTTTTGCTAGCTGTATTCACCTGACCATCACCATAATCCTCAACGAAGTCTTCCCCACAGACAACGCGGAGGAAGATACGCCAGCACAGAAAATTGTTCGCATGAATACCAACATCCCACCGACTCCACATGATATACCATTTAGTGACAAGGAAATCAAGCAAATTTTCCGGCAGCTACCCCTGGAAAAGGCCCTCGGCCCGGACGACCTGGACTATAGCATCATGAAAGTTGCCTGCAAAGCACGCCCTTCCTTCTTCCACTAATTCTTTAACCAGCTGTTTGACAACCAAATATTGCCGCAGGCATTCAAGAAAGGACAATTCGTCCTATTCCTCAAGAAGAACAAAAGCCCGCAACATTCCCGCTCTTTTCACCCGATATGCCTTTTGTCAGCTCTGGGCAAGATTTACGAGAAATTAATTGTTAACAGACTGAAATATCATCTCCATAGCAACAATCATCTCAGCCCCAGGCAGTATGGCTTTCGCACTGGTCTGTCCACTACGCATGCCCTCTGCAAAATTCGTGAAACAATTCAACGCAATAGCACCACAGGTTTCCATACAGCTTTCATATCCATTGACCTCCAGAGTGCGTTTGACACACTCTGGTGGCCAGCGATAAGACAGGCCCTTCGAGACGCACAGTGTCCATCCAACCTCTTCAGTGTTTTTAGTAGTTATCTAGAGAATCGTAGTCTTCTCATAGCCACCAACAATGACACTACCTTCAAAGTGCAAGAAAGGGGATGTCCCCCAAGGCTCTTGTGCTAGACCGATTCTCTGGAATTTAACATTCAACCCTCTACTGGATGCAAACTGGCCACGACATACAAGTGTCATCGCCTACGCAGACGACGCAGCTCTTCTTGTCAAAGGTCGCACTCGTGCGGAGCTCGAGAAAAACGGCACCGAAGTCTGCTCCCTCCTCGCCAATATCTGCAGCAACTTAAAGCTTACAATCTCTACCGCAAAGTCATCAGCAATAATAATACCCAAAGCAGGCACGAATCCAACGCGCCGCCCCTGCATCAAACTACAAGGAGCCAACATAAAGATTGTCCAAACGCTAAAATACCTAGGTGTAATCTGGGATAAAAAACTAACCTGGATCCCTCACATCCAAGAACTAAAGAACAAAACATCAGCTATAGCCAGAAAGGCACGCGCCTTCCAAGGTAGAAACTGGGGTCAGAATCATCATATTCAGAAGATCCTCTAACCATGTGGTAGCTGAAAAAATAGTCTTGTATGCTGCTGCCGTATGGGCCCAAACCGATGGGAGGACGAAAGATCAAACATCTTACATCTCTTCAACGACCATTCGCCCTGAATCTCTGTAAAGCGTACCGCACCACAGCCACCAGCTCAGCGACAGTCCTTGCAGGGCTCATTCCACTCCACATACGGGCAGAACAAGAGGCAGTGTACACCACCCTCATATACCTCCGCAAAGATGCAACATTTGGCAACATAACATACAGCCCTCTGCAATTTCAAAGCCCAGGTAACACTCTTTCACACTCATCCTGCACGTAAAGGCACAGGAATAAGCATTTACATCTCATGGATACAGCCACTGTCAATGACGCGAGTTTCAAGGGATACGCAAATATACACCAACGGCTCTAAGCAGGAAGACGGAGTAGGCAGCGCCTTTGCACACTATGACAAAGGAAGAATCATCCATGTATGGAAAGGACGCCTTGACTTAAACAACAGTGTGTTTCCAGGCGGAGGTGCAAGCAATTATAACGGCGGTAGATTACATTTTCAATAATAATATAGAACGGGCGAAAATTTTCACAGACAGTATGTCAACACTTCTAGCACTAGATAATCACAACCACACCTCGCCCTTGATCATCAAATTATAACAACTTTTACAGCGCAACCCGCAGAAACATCGCTCCTTAACATGGATCAAGGCACATGCAGAAAATGAGGGGAATGAAGCAGCTGATAGCCTGATCAGCCACTGATCCACTGATTCAGAAGCTGAAAAAATCACAATCCCAGCCCCTCCTTCCTACCTCAAAGGGCTATTATGGGGTCAAGGCCTAAATCTTTGGCAAGGAAGACTGGACATACTGCACAACTGGAAGACGTACATACAGCTACCTCCCGAAAGTCGGCACTGAATGCAACATTGCAATAGCTCCTCTTACGGCTTATATTATGGGACATGGCCCATTCCCGACCTAATTCAATAGACATGGCATAACAACTACAGACATATGCACCTGCGGAGGGAAAGGCGTCCCAGACCACTGTGTTTTTGAATGCCATCTGACAGCAGGAAATCACCTCCCACTTCCCATCAACAATAGAGAAGCTTATCACCGCTTCCTTATAAAGCACAAACCGGCAGTAAATACAATCTGCAAAGTTGTTAACAAGCTCAAGAGAATGGGCCAAGATTTGTGCTCTCCTCATTAACCAAAACTCTCAAGGCATGATACACTAACTAAGTCAGCATGCAGTTCCACATTCTCAGACACATAAGTCTACTCCTAAAACTTTACATAAGTCCCTATTACAGACACTTTCAAATAATGTAACAGTCAAATGTATTTAACATTTCCTCTTCTGTATATGCATAATACTTTTTTTTATTTTTTTTTATTTATTTTTTTTTTAAGCCTTTGTATTTTTAAAATCCTATTATTTTGTAACTGTATTTTTGTATCTGTATATTTAATTTGTATTTTTATTTGAATTTTATTATGAATATGCAAAATTACCATAGCAAATTGACATAACAAATGTCAAAACGGAAAAACGAATGCAATCTGCCCTTGTATGGCCATGTAAATGCTCTTGTTAACATCCTAAAAGCTCTTAAGGCGGCCTCTTGAGGCTTCAGGGAGTTGTTCCTGGTTAGTGGAGGGCGCGGGACACATGCCTGTTTACCTCTGTTAGACATCAGGCATCCCTGTCCTCCATTACCAACCAACCTGACCATCACCTGTCCATTAATACACACATTTTTAATGGTAGGATCCCATAACTTTGAAAATAATTCAGTGCTTGCTGTCTTGTAGGAAGCAAGCCCCAAATTGTAATTTTTTTTTTTTTTTTTTTTTTCTGAAAGGGAAGGGAAAAATACAATAATAAAACACTTAATTTAAATCCTGATTCATAAAAACAAAAGTTGATTTATTGAGAATCAATTGAATTACATCAGTTGAACATGCAAATATTGTGAGAGTACTGTTACACCATACTTATCCATAATTGGTGCTAAATCACACTGCTTGTTGAAAGTTTTATGGTTGAGAGAGCATTACATAAGTACCATTATATGTTTCTGTTAGTAGCCACTTTTTGTTTTGTTAAAATCTTTTTCATTCAAATACCAAAAAATTTATAAATGTTGTATATTGGGACATTAAAAATAGGTGAAGAGAAAAATATAACTGATCTCTATAAAATAAAAGATAAAAAAAAATATCTTCAATAACCTAGATAAAAATTCCTATTACTTTCTTTTTAAATCTTTTTGATTCCCAAATTTGCATATATATTCTTCTAATTATAAAGGATGCAAAAAAGCATATCTGATACATACTAAATATCTAGATTTTTGTTGCATTTAAAAAAAAATAAAGAAGAAATGTATTAATTTATTTTGTTTTCTGTACATTTTGTGTAACATTGAAATGCGTAAATGCATATAAATACATAATTTTCATATAATGGTGAGTTGATTTCAATTATATTATTTCCCCCCCCCCCTTATAGTGGTTGGAGCTTTAATTGGAAAACAGAAAGGACGGAATATAGAAATTATGAACTCTTTTGAATTGATGTTTGATAGAATTGAAGGACACATTGTAATTGACAAAGATTATTATACTTCCAAGGAACAGCAATGTAATAACTTTCTCTATTTCTTATTATTTGATTTTAAAATGTTTTCTGTATGATAAATTAATTCATATGTTGTTTTTACCTAGTTCCTTTATTTATTTAATTGTAATTTTTGCCTGTTTCTGAAATGAAACTCATGATATTAAAGATTATTTCTTTTATTTCCACTGTTTTCTTTAATCATTTGCCAGAAAACCTCTCTCATCTATAATACTGAGTGCATGTATCCATGTAATGAAACCTCATACTATTTTTATGATTATTTGTTGAGCCGTATGTTGAAGTATTCTATTGTGTTTGCATTTCATAATTACACATATTTCAGTGATTTCTAAATTGTGCACCATGGCACCCCCAGCATGGGACTTAATTGGGCACCATAGCATCCAGAGGCACCATTATTAAATTATTGCAGGATATTGATTTTACTGAAATGAACTTTTAGCCTTTATGTTTTTTTCAATTAATCTGTCAATCTGTTAATGGGCTGATAGGAATGCAGCTTATTTACACTGTAAAAAGGCCCTAATTGTTTTGCTCTTTTAGAGGAGAGAGAAGGCTGTTTCACAGCCTTGATGTTGAACTCGAGTATTAGTATTATAAAATGAATTCTGGAAAGATATACAGTCAAAAGTCTTTAATCCGAACTTGGCGGGACTTCGCGATTCCGGATTATAGATCATCAATTTAAATCTGATAAGATGGCATGCAGAAATTATAAAATTAAAAATATGAAACCATAATTTATGAAATAAAGAGCAATTATGATCTAAAGGGTATCAAAATTAACAAAAAAAAAAAGCTTAATGTTTATTTGTTTACTTTATTAAACATTTCTTTCAACGCGCGCATGTGTAAAGCATACATTACGCATAGTCCAAATGAGAAAATTGCAACCAAAAAACTATTTGATGTGTATTTGTGATATTTATAATGATGAGGAAATTGATTTAACTTATATCGGAGTAAATCGATATGAAACACTACATTTAGTGAGGAATTATAAGCCGAATAAAATAAAAACATCTGCCCTGAAGATGAGGATAGTGCTGACAGATCAACTTCCAGTTCATTGCGCTTCGCGATATCCCCCCCCCTTCTGCAGAGCAGCGTGAAATTGATAAACAGATTTCATAATGGTTAGAGAAACAAATCATCTCTCTGTCACTTTCTTCATGTCTTTATCCATTTTTTGTTTAATGGACATCAAAACATGCTTCCGCTTTGCAGATCCTTTGGTAGCTCCAGCATCAGAAATTCTATTTGACATAATCGAAAGTTCAAGCTTACTTTTATAAAATTGCTCTTACAGTCTGCAAAAAATAATAAGCCGGATCCAATTCGAAGATTAAGGAACAACGCAATCTGCAACATTAACTGAAATATATATTTTAGCTTAGCTTATACCAGCCGTTATACATTAAACGCGCATGTGTAAACGTATTTTGCGCATGCGTAAATGCCTATGTGCAGAAAGTTTGTAGCTTTGAGGTCCGGATTATAGATCATTCCAGATTATGGGTGTCTGGATTAACAACTTTTGACTGTATTTGCTTTCCTAAAGATCGGGCAAAGTCTTTGTTGAAAGACGTTGTAGGTGTGAAAGTAAAAATGATACACTACAAAGTTGATGTGGAATAATAAAACAGGCTTACATCTAACTAACTGCTGTCAGTTTATTTAGTCATATGGTTATCACAATTGTACTCATTTAATTCTTTTTACACTCCCAGTTTTGTTTTTAAGCTAACCTATATAATTGTACCATCTGTAAATCTAATGTTCTAAATTTAGACATCACGTAAAAACCACACTATCCTGAGTTTTTCATGGAAAAATTTCTACACCTAGGGCATTTGTGGAGAAATTGGTGTATGCCTAGGTGCCATAAATAAAAGTTTTGAAAATGTTATTTTGACCTTTTATCTATGATAGTATTAATTTATAAGTCATTTTTTTATGTTTCTAAGTAAGTTTGAAATTTCAGTACAATTAACATAATTTGTTCATAAAAAAGTCATTTTTAGTTTAGCAGAGATTTTGAATAAAACTGTGAATTTCAAAAATTTCCCAAAATATTGTTGCCAATTTTTTTTATTTTTTTTTCCCCTGAAGTAGAACCTGTGTTGACCACTATCAAAACAATAGAATTTTATTGAAAATCTCCTACAAAGTTGCTATTTTGCCTGATTTTGCAGTTATGTGTTCAGTCAGCTGGTGTTCAACTTGTATGTTGCACTTATGTGTAATTTTGCATCTCTTTCAATTTGTCTAATGATTATATGAATTAAATAAGAAATACCAATGCTGGTGAATATTTGCAGTTAAGGAGAGAAAGAAAAGAAATATATATAGAGAGGGAATGTTTACACATTTTTGTAACAATCTTGATTTTCTCCATTAATTTAAATATTAATTCTAAAATACAAATGTGACTGGCATCAAGTTGGAATAAGGTTTAATTATCATCTGCAGCATTAAAAATATTCTTTTCTTTAAAATGTCGCTGAAAAAGAAACAATGGATCTAAGGCTATATTTTTGTGCTGTCCGAAGAAAAATACTCTTATTCAATTATTAAAAAAAAGTTGTGAAAAGCATGGTTTTCAAAACGTAAAATAAGTGACCTACTCAATATGAAAGGAAAGAAACATCAACGTTAACATCTGGCTGGAAAAAGTGCAAAAAATGCATACCCAACAAAGGTATGTACATTTGTTATTAA